GCTGTGTGAGACGCTTGTTTCAATACCTCTGACAGAAGTAATGAAGGAGAAAGGGTTCAAAGGTCCAGCCTGTCATGGCAGGAGCTAAGGCGGCAGAGCAGTCAGGAAGCAGAGTGGAAGCCTGCTGCTGATCCACTCCCCTTCTCCACTACACAGGCCAGGATGGACTGCGGATCCACCCATGGAACCTGTGGAATGGATGCCACCCACTACGGGGTCTCTGAAATCAAGAGTACCACTTGCAGGCGTGCACAGAGGCCTGTCTCCCAGGTAATCCCAAAACTTGTCAGGCCAGATTTGAGACAACCTAGCCAAACCCTTAGGTCAGTGGTTTTCAATATGTGGATTGCGACCCTCCCCCTATGGGGGATTGCATATTGGATATTTATGATTCATAACAGCAGCAAAATTACAGTTCATGAGGTAGCAATGAAATGGTTTAATGGCCAGGGGTCCTCATAACATGAGGAGCTGTAGTAAAGGGTTGCAGCGTTCAGAAAAAGGCCTGAGTCGGATTTTACAGGTTATTTTCCCTGACCCTACTTCTAGGCCAACAAGTCCTGTGTCTTGGAGCTGGGACAGGGATCCTGTGGCTGCATCCCAGGAGGCTGCTTGTAGGAGTGTGCCCCCATTGTCTTTCCCAGCTAGAGCAGTTGCCGAGCCATAAATGTCATTAGCTGCTCGGCACTCTCAAAATAGACACGTGGCTAATTGTTCCTGCCCTTCCCAGTTGCACCATAACTGACTGTGTGAGTGATTTTTGTTGTTGTTGTTGTTACACATGTCATCGTGAATACCAACTTCTCCAAGCACCTTTTCCTGAGCCGGAGGAAAGTGCTGGGTGTCCAGGTCTGAGCCCACTGCCCTGGAATGAGTCATTTTTAAAGAAAGGGTACATCTTCAGGGAGAGACTGGTCTAGGGGCTTGGGTCTGAGGTCCTGGTGGGCCTTTCTTTTCAGCCAGGGCCTTACCTCTGTGGGTCCATGTGGCACGGTGCGGTTGTGTAGCGCAACACACAAGGTGTGTAGCGCAACCTACGAAGGTGTGAGCTGCTGTGGTGACCTGGGCCAGCAGGGAGAGAACCCGGTCAGTTGCAAAGCCAGTTATGGTTCCCACTGTGAGAATCAGAGGCATGCCCACATGGCATGGGAGAGAGAAGCAGGTGAGCCTGAGCCCTGGGACACCCCGAGTTTCAGATTTCCTTGTACTTGTAGGAACTGGGATTTAGGTTTCCATCCTGAAACAAATGCCTGCCAGTCTTGATGTGGCCTGTGCTCACCAAGAGCCTCTCAGGGAAAGCTACATGTGTTTCTCTCGTCAGTGATGCTATCTGCTCCTGGCAGTGGGGTAGGGCAGAGTCTTGTCCTTGCCTTTGTAGGGTCCCATGCTACCCAGGAAGGTGAGGTCCAGACAGCAAGATGCTTAGGATCTTTCCTCTAGCTGGGAAAGCTGGGATGTCAGGGGCCTGGGGTGAAAGAGAGGCACCTGTGGGCCACAGGTGATTCCTCTGTGGGAACCTGTGGTCTATATCTATATCACCTTCATTAAACTGCTGGCAAAGGGCCTGGCACACTGGTCAGGTGGGGGCTGCTGTGGCTGAACCTGCTGGACTGGAGACGGGTGCCCTCCAGCCAAGATCAGGCCCAGGATTGCAGTCTGCCACGCACCGTGCCCCCATATCTGCGCTTGGTGTGCTATTACCCAGTTTGCTAGCTTTGGGAAAGGGGGCTGGAGGTTGAGAATACAGACGCAGAGACAGACCAACACGTGCAGAGACAGACCGACACACAGACCTTCAATTGCTGGTACCCAAAGCCCCAAGAATGCCCCCCTTATTGTGTTCAGGGGCAGATTATATAGAGATAGTCAAGCCCCAGCCAAACCCACCAGAAACCACTCTCCTGCCATCAGGAACTCCTGAAGGTCTCGTGCTCAGAACAGCTGTAGGCACTCAGATCAGGGTAAAGCAAGTTGTTTATAAGAAATTCAGGATCTGGGGTCTCGCTGCTCCCAACAGCAGTCCTTTTCTTTGTATTGCTGGGGAGACTCTGAGGTTTGACACACACACAGGAAGCTTGGACCACAGCATGAGCTCACATCCAAGCAGATTTATCTTGGGAAACCCTGGCCCAGCACACAACACCCTTCACCTCTGGATGCAGCCACTGGTGGCCTGGGGGCAGTTTTGTCACTTGGATAGCCAAGAGGATATCTTGTTTCCAAAGACCCGGGACACATGCTTGCTTGCTTGCTCCAGGTAGGGATACTTGCTGACGCTTGTCTCCAGGAGACAGGCTTCGGCATGATTTCTGTCGGGGGAGGTCCTTTTGGGGCAAAGAAACGCCAAACCGAGGACACACAGAAAGTGGCCATTTAGCTCTGTGCTTAAGTGGAGAAAGATGGAGACAGCAGGAGAGGAGAAAACCCCCTCAGAGTCCCGAGAGGCTGCCAGCCATGGGCCGGAACAAACAGCAGGTACACGAGGATAGGTGTCCTCCGATGATGGTTCCGGCACCTGGCTCTCTGGCTGGTTTTGAGGTGGGGAAGAAAATGACACCGAACAAGGAGACCGCGCCAGGTAGGCCATGCTGTTGGAACTTTGTCTCCTGGATGTGACTGCGCACGGGAGTCCCCACTTTTAGCGTGACATCCACATGGCGCTCTGGCTGCAGGCTGGTGAGTGCAGGGTATGTGTGTGTTCTGGGCCCTGTGCTGATGCCTTTGTGCTGCTATAACAAAGCTCCTGAAACTAACTTCTTACAGTTGCCAGTTCCAAGAGTAGGCCTGGCGCCTCCGTGCTGTGTGGGAACAGATCCTGAACTTGTGGCTCCAGTGAACCCTGTGGGCGTCACTTAGAACTGGAAGCTGTCAGGAATATCTGCTGGCCCTACCCTTGCTTGGCCACCAAGGGCCCCAGGGAGGTCATATGCTTCTCTTCCTCTCTCAGCCTCCATCCTCCTGTGTCTGGTTCTGTGGGCCTGGCAGAAGCGCCTGATATGGGTGGATTTATCTCTGTCCTTGCTCTGCCCCCCACCAGTGAGGCAGGGCAGCTTCTAGAGTTCTGGGATGGATCTGGAGTCTGTCAAGATGGTTAAAGCATCCCATGCGTAGAACATCATACCAGAATGCTCTGGAAGCTACAGAGAACAAGGCCTGGACATGGCTCCCTAAGTTGCCTCTGGGGACCAAGAGTGACAACCCCAGATGGTAGAAAGCTGGCTGATGCTGACCTATGTCTGCAGAGAGAAGGGCATTCAGCCATCTTGCTCCCAATAATAGGACTGTGGTAGAGACATGATGTGTGATCTCCTGTTCCCAGCACAGTGGCGCTTCCAACTCCAGTAGTGTTCAGTTCTGACTGGAGACATGGATCCTGCCACATCCTGCCTGGGACAAGGTAGTGACAGGAAGGAGGAAGAGCAGAGGAAAAGAAGTAACAGTAAATAGAGCTGAGGGGGAAATGAGGGCCCAGAAACAGGCTGGGAGGAGGGAGGCAGAGGCGGGAGGACTCACAGGTGCAAGGTGAACTCAAAGTGAAGCCGTTTAAGGCATCAGCTGTGAGTGATTCTCTGGTTTGTGGTTCCTGATGATGCCAACAATAGCTAGGATGGGTTGCACTAAATAATGCAGTGGCTGGGGCCTGTTTGTGCGTGTGTATGTACACATGGTGTGGAATGCCCCTCTATGCTGTGAATATGTTTTATTATGGTTAATAAAGAAGCTGCTTTGGCTTATGGCAGCGCAGAACATAGTAAGGGAAGAAATCCAAGCAGAGATAGAGGAGGAAAGAAGGTGGAGTCAGAGAGATACCACGTAGCTACTGAAGGAGAAAGATACTGGAACCTTACTGGTAGGCCACAGCCTTGTGGTGATGCACAGACTACTAGAAATGGGCTAATTTAATATGTAAGAGCTAGCTAGGAATATGCCTAAGCTAATGGCCAAACAATGTTGCAATTAATATAGTTTCTGTGTGATTATTCAGGTCTGGGTGGCCGGGAAATCAACACGCAGTCTCAGTCTACATACAAACCTACGTATGCCTGTGAGCAGGCCTGTGCATGTACATATATATGTTTACATACAGGCATGTGTCCATGTATGTGCACACATGTATACATGCAAGTGTCTGTGTGTGGGGCACTCTAGGACAGATTTGGCTGGGCCCCATGACAGTGGCATGAATCCACAGTACCCGGGGACCATGCAATCCCTCCTTCAGTCCACTGTGGGTCCCAGAACCCTGGTGTTTATCCCAGATCGTCTCAGCCTGGTCCCCCAGCCTGTGCAAGCTCCATCTAAAGACACCTTAGTTTTCTTTCTTTTCTTTCCTTTTTTATTCTTATTTTTACAAAGTGGACCTGTCTAAAGCTCCAAGGGGTTTCGGGGGAAGGAATGCTTAGGCAAAGAGGCCACATGCAGACTAGAGTACCATGTGCTGGCCCCAGCTTCCCTGCCTGTTAGTCAGTGCTAGGGTAGGAAGGCAGAGTGGTACGGAGGCCATAGGCCTAGCCCAGTTCCCTCTTGCAAGCCACATGTTGACTGAGAATTTTAAATTTCGGGCATGGGATATGGCTCAGTGGTAGAGCACTTGCCTAGCATAGGAGAGGCCCTGGATTGGGTTTGATTCCCAGTACTCACAAAAATAAAACAGAAAAAACCTGCTCTCAATCTACATCTGCCTTTCTGTGGTGTCGCCAAGTTGTGTGTATTGATGAGCATACTTTAGGCATTTGATTTATAACCTAAACATCTAAGATACGCACAGGACACGTGGGCCTCAGGTGTGTGAGGAGTGGGCCTGGTTGTACTTCTTTTCTGAGCCCAGAACAGTGCCCAAGTTTTGACACAGCAGGTAACCAAGAAGCCGCTGTGTGTGATAAGGTCTCACTTCTGGCACCAGCTGCCCTCAGGTCCTGCCCATGGTCCTAAATTCTGTCAGATCCCAAAATGAATGGAAAAACACAAGCAAGTCGGAGGCAGACTACTTAAAAGGGGATTTTATTTACTCCTTTGGAGCAGCGTGCTAACGCCCGACTCCTCTCCAGGACATGACAATTCCGCAAAACTCCTGTTCCCTTCGGAACCAAGACCACCTGACACTAAAAACACATTGGAAACATTGACTCTTTCCCTTTTTTTTCCTTTTTTTTTGATACAAAATGATACAAACGACAATACAAAATATTTGTGCTGTTGACGATTACAAAAAAGTCAGAACATCTGTCTCACCGCAGGATGCTCAGCTGCAGTGTGAACACGTCATACTCTGGTACCTTTCCCAAAACAACCACAGTCATGCGGGCTGCTACACATTTGTCCATTTTCAAAAATAAACATGCAACAAAATAAACCATAATGAAAAAAAGGAGAGGAAGAAAAAAGCAAGATGCGTTCCAGGTGTATACGGAGGTGGTTTCCACCGGCCGGCTGGTGGGGCAGAGCCGGCTCGGTACCGTACCTGGCTCTCTGTGCAGGGTGATTCTATCTTGAGTTTTTGGTTTTGCCTTTCAGCTTGGGTGGAAGTGGGAACTTCCCCTCCCCGTTTACCTTAGAGAGCACAGAGGTGTCACTCTCAATGGACCATGTCCTCACTCTGGGGAGATTGATGTATCTCTGAGGGCCTGACAACTGGCCATTACTCAGACACTTTGGTGGCAGGAGGCCCAGCATTTTGGATGGGCTGAAAGACATGAGAGAGAAAAGCTGCTGGCTGGGAGTCAGGTGTGATGAGGCTGATCGTGCACAGGTGTTCTTCCAAGCCGCTCAGCAGTGCAGGTTTCTCCCTAGAGGAACTAAACCACATCCTCGTACTACACAGAGCTGGCCACCAGCCTCGTTTGGCTGGGCCCTGACCACAGACGCGTCGTATCTACAAGCTACGGGAGGGAAACATTTGACACTGACTGTATGCTTCGCTAATGCTAACTTTGTTGGCCTTGGAACAGAGTTCCAACATGAGTCTGGGGATGCGTGGACCCTATCTTTCTCTAGCCCCAGGGGCTAATTGGGGGTGTTGAGTGAAAGGGGTAAGCTGTCCTGCTCTTAGGGAACCCCATGGATGTTCTTTCAGGGACCTGGCAGTGACAGAGGCCTGTGCAGGGGGGGGGGGGGGGAGGGTAGGAGGGAGGTGGAGGTAGATGACATTCCTCCAGAGCTGATAGATTTGGTCCCTCCCATCCCAGGGCTCCAAGAAAGCCTTGGGACTTCAGGGGAGTCCATGACACCATGTCACATGCACACTTCTCGGTCATATGCACACTTCCAATAGAGCATTCGCGGTCCTTGGGTTTCCCAAAATCAAACCCAGAAAATTCTCATTCCCCCAGCCCTGACCCATAGTCATCCTACCAGACCAGTGGCCATGCCAAGCTCAGCACTACCCTCTCTGGCTGCCGAGCAATTTGCATAGGAGAGCTTATCTCCCCACCCCGCCCCCTCCCCACCCCTGGCCTTCCATTAGCTCTGTTGGCCTGGCTGGCTGTAGGGAAGATGATTCCCAGGAAGCTGCAGAGGCCCCTGTCCATCCTACCTCCTAGGGCAGCCATAGGAGCAGTGAGAATGGACACAGCTGAACGTATGGCCAGCTCAGGTCTAGGAGTTCAGAGTGGGGACAGGTTTGGGTTGGGAAAGAACCCTGACATCCAATGGGTCATACCCATAAGTTCAGCACCTATGAGTTCACTCTGGTGCATCCAAAGCAGTCTGGAGAAGGGGGTGAACCTAGCCATAGTATAAAGCCAGAGGCCATGAGGAACCATGACTTAGCTGGGTGCATGCTATCTCCTGGGTACCCGCAGCCCTTTCAAAGTCATCCTGGCCCCTAGTAGTAGGTATAGGCTGGGGATCCGGGAGGAACTTATTTTTCATCAATGCTGGGACTTCTGTTGTCTCCCAAAGGAGATCCAGACACCAAGCTACCAGTGCTCTCAGCTTCTTTCTTGGGGAGCCAAGAAGCTGACCGCATAGGGTGCCCCTCCAGTGCGGCCTTTCTGCCCCATCCCAGGGCTCCTTTGGGCCCAGACATGTGAATGTCCTAGGCCTGTTTTCCCCTCTGGTGAAAAAGGCAGCTTTGCCATGTCTCACAGTCCTTGTCTGTAGCCTATTCTCTGTTCTACAGACATGGTCACCCTGCCCAGCCTGCCCTGCGTCAAGCTACCCACGGAAAGTGCAATGCCAGATCCAGAGAACAATGGAAATGTGGGTCCAAGCCAGAGCATCTGTGGTCACATGGGCACAGTAAGAGAACCTCTCACCGGCCACTTAGAATAGGTCCTGACATCTATAGCAGTTCTTGGCACCAGGCAGGAGCTTGGGCTAAATGGGCCCAAGGAGGCCCAGCAGCTGCCACCATCTGACAGGCTCTACTCTCTGTTGTCTGCACAGCCTGGGGAGTGTGTTGAGAGCATTTGGGGGTTCCCGTTGAGGGGCGTTGTGATTGCTGTGCCTTCACCGGGATCCCTTGTGAAGGGTATTGCCAGGGTTTGGCAGGATGCTGTGGCTTCTGGACAACACGCTGTCCTGGACCAAAGCCGTTTGGTGGTACTGGGGGTGACAGCTGGTCCAGAGTAGCTTTCTGGTGGACAGGGCAGTGGCCAAATGCAGGGGCGAGGACCAACTGGGGTGGCCCCTCGGCATCGCACCCACCCCTGCTATTTACAGTATCTCGGTGGGCAGGACATGAGTTCAGGTGAAAGCCAAGTCCACACAGAAGTCTCTGCTGATGGGGTTGGGCTAGCCCAGTGCTTCTTGGCACCGGAAAATCTGGTCCTCACTTAGCAGCCTTGGAGAGCCCAAAGGGCCCAGGAGACACTGACCGGGCATGACAAAAGCTGTGGCCATCTAGACCCCATACTATTTTTGCAAATAAGCCATCCCCCCCCCTTTTTCTTAATAAAAGACTTTTTTAAAAAAGACATATTCTCTCCCACTCCTTGTGTGTTGCCTCCAGAGGAGACCAGATGGGGTCAGGGCTGTGGGCAGGGTGGGCAGAGTTGGGGCCTTGGGCTGTCTCCTCTTTCAGTCACTCCTGAGTTAGGGAATCTGTCATGTGTACCAAAAGGCACTTTTGTTTTTTTTTTTATTTTAACAGTGCTTTTGTTGTAAGAAATTCAAGTTAGGGCTGTGCCTCTGGCTCTCCCTTTGCGGTACGTGGCTACTGAGATGCCGCAGTGGTGGTGGGCGCCTGGTGGCCTATGTTCGTACTGCACAGTTCCACTTGGGGGATGGCAGTGGGGAGGGGCCTCTTGACACCAGGACAAATCCAGTGCCTTGGCTCAGTCCCGCTGCTTGGCCTCGAGTGTCCTCATGTTGGCGGGAGGGGTGAGGTTGGCTAGTCCTCCTCGCCACCCCCATACATGTCCGCCAGCTTCTTGAACCGGGGCCCCCAGTCATTCAAGTAGTCATAATCTTGATCCCCGGAGCTGGAGGAGTTCAGGGAACTGACGGAGCCTGCGGTAGAACCACTGCCCTCATAGTCGAAGACTAGCAGAGAGTCATAGGGGGGTGCCGTGGGGTCATTGTCAGCAGCTCGAAGTCCCTGGAGATCATAGAGATGAGGGGTTAGGGTGGAGTGTGTGCTGTCAGCCGTGGGAGGAGGGCAGGATCTTGCATACAGTAGGTACTCAGTAATTGTTGCATATGTTTGTCTGCAGGGTGTTTCCAAGGACCAAACAATGTGTGTGCATGAGAGCACAGGGCTTAGAGATGGCTCTGTGGTAAAGAGCACTTGCCGCTCATGCAGTACCTGCACGGCAGCTCACAACCATCTCTAACCCCAGTTCTAGGGGACTCGCTCCATCTTCTGACCTTGTGTATACACACGGTGCACAGACATACGCAGGGGAAGCACCATACACATAAAATAAAATATATAAATCTGAGAAAAAAGGGCACGGAGTGTAGGGCCAGGAAGCTCAGAGCCACTGGCAGCATCAAGAATGAGGTGGGCGGGGGCTGGAGAGATGGCTCAGTGGTTAAGAGCATTGCCTGCTCTTCCAAAGATCCTGAGTTCAATTCCCAGCAACTACATGGTGGCTCACAACCATCTGTAATGAGGTCTGGTGCCTTCTTCTGGCCTGCAGACATACACACAGACAGAATATTGTATGCATAATAAATAAATTTAAAAGAAAAAAACCCAAAAACTTAAAAATGAGGTGGGTACTGACTGGGCCGTGTGTAGTGTTAGGGTTGGAACATGGTTAGGTGTAGGGTTGGGCAGAGTTGGGTTAGAGTTAGGGTTGTGGTATGGGTCGGGTGAGATGATGAGTTTATTCAGCTCAGGGGGTTCAGATGACTGAGTCACCATGTTCAATTCTCTGCAGAGCTGGGGATTGAACCTAGAGCCTTGTGCTCTGAGGCCAGGACTCTACCCCTTGAGCCTGTCCCTCAGCCTTCACACTCTTAATTCTTTTTCTCCTCATGATCTTTTTCTTCGCTTTTTATTATTTACTTTTTATTCCCCCCCATCCTTTCCTTCTTCAGTTGGGAGTTTTATTTTTCATTCATTCTTTCTCATTCTCCATTGCGTACTGAACGCTTTGCCTGTTCTCCCAAGTGCACTTTCCCCCACCTCTGCCCTGGGAAGAGAATGTGATTCTCATAGCCTGTGTCTTTACTCTCTGTAATTTCTTCTGAGTGACCTGACAATGGGCTGTGGACTGTAGGTTGGAGGTTGGTGGAGTCTGCTTTGTAGGGTCTAAACATCTTGTTGCTCATGGTATTGTCTGAGTGTCAGTGGCTATGTGGTCTGAATGTAATCGGCTCCCATAGGCTCCTAGGGAGTGGCACCATTAGGAGGTGTGTCTTTGTTGGAGTAGGTGTGGCCTTGTTAGAGGAAGTGTGTCACGGTGGGGGCGGGCTTGGAGGTTTCCTATGCTCAGGATCCACCCAGTGTCTCAGTTGACTTCCTATGTCTCAGTTTCCCCTCCAGTATCATGTCTGCCTGCATGCCTCCATGCTCCCCACCATGATGATAATGGACTGAACCTCTGAAATGAGCCGCCCCAATTAAACTCTTTACAAGAGTTACTGTGGTCATGGTGTCTCTTCACAGCAATAAAAACCCTAAGAAATGGCTTTCAGGTAACTTCAGACCTTGGTGATATCTCCTCCTATGAATGTTCTGAGGAAACTTCTGGATGTTTGCTGACTGACAACCTGGGTTATCATGTAAGAGAATCTGCCACTGGCAGAAGTATAAGTGTTGCTGACCCAACTTCAAATACAATGAGTCTTGAGGACCTGGTAGTAAAGCTACAACCCACCCACTCCCACTTGCTTGCTAGTGGTTAGGCGGGGTCACAGATGGGACCCCAGGGAAGCTGCTCTCCTTGTTTCTTTTTGCTTTACTGCAGAAGAAGGTGGACAGAGGTGTTATCCAGGGACACGTTTGGTTGAACAACAACATTTCCTGACAGAAAAGTAATTTGCTTTCCAGAAGTATAGTAACAGTTTTTCTAGATTCTCCTCTCCCAGTGTTACTGCTCCTAAGGATGGCTGGCTTTAAGAGGTCATCTGACATGTTGAAGCTCAATGTTTCTTGGTTACTCCTAGCAGTGGCTAACCACGTGCCCCAAAAGGGAACTTCTCATTCTCTTCCCCGCAATCCCTTTCTGCCCTACAGCTGCTCCAGCCTGAAAGTAGATGGCAAGTTCCCTGGTTAATTGAGCCAGAGATCTCCCGCTGCAGATCCAGCCACCACCTGCCAAAGCTCTGCTGTCAGACAGCCATTTGTTTCCCTTTCAAAATCTTTGTAAGAGATGGGGTGGTGTGACATGCAGCCTGAGCCTTTCCTGGCTCAATTTTAAGAGACCAAGCTTCTCTAAGGTGTGGAGGTCTTGCTAGGTCTTTAATACAGCCGAAAGCTGAAGGCAGGAAGGGCTCTGTGGGGTGCGTGGACTCCCACCTTTGTGTTGTGATGGGGACGGGTTAGAGATGGTTGAGGAGAGACATGCAGGTCAGTTTTCTTGGGTACCAGGGTTCTGGTGTGGGTGGGAAGGCTATTCCCAGCTGCACTGGCTCTGTGTGTTCAAAAGCTGTTTTGCTGCTTTGCTGTTTCTCCTGAGACTAGGCCTTCCTTCTGTTACTGCAGGCAAAGGGGCCTAAATGGTCCCAATTCCCCCTAGTAACTGGGAACCTTAGGCCTCCTCAGAGGCACCTCAGTCACACAGCAGGAGGCCTGGCCACCTCTGGCCCTGTAGAGCTCTGAGTGTAGGATTTCCTTTGAAAGGGGACTCCTTGCTCAGGTCCTCCCAAGGTTCATACCTCATTGATGAAGTCTCCGATGTCGCCTGGGTGGGGCACCACAGGCCTGACTGGGTACTGGGGCTCGGCACCTACTGGCCGCTCGTCCACCCGCCGCACACCAGGGGCCTTGCTCAGCACATGTTCCATGGCTTCCGGTTGTTGTAGCTGGCTGAGGTCATAGTCCTGGGGATGGAGGCCAAGTGAGTCAGGGGAACTGGAGTGCGGGGAGGTAATAGGCAGGGCAACCTTTTCAGTTTTGTCACCTGCCCAGAGGGTGCCACTGTACCAGTCTCCAAGCACCCCCCCAGGTCTGTCCCTTCCACGCAATCCACTTCTTATCTTGCCATGGAGTCTATGTCTGCCAGCGGCCTTGCCAAGGCCAGGAACTCCCTCCTGGCAGGTGACCTTTCCCGCCTGCAGCTCAGCAGCCTAGCACTGCCACCTTGAGCTGATGGGAAAGGGCTGGGTCCTCCTTGCAGCTACTAGCTAGCTCTGTGAAGATCACCCACTCTGGTCAGAGAGCCCCCCACTGGGAGTATCCAGGAGGTGGGTGTTGGCGTCCCCAGAAGGCTCTGGCCTGTTTTCTCCAGGACAGCAATGGGGAGGTGGTTGGAGAGGGAGGAGCATGGGAGGAGGATGCTGATAGAGTCTGCATAGTCTGCCCAGGTCCCAGCACACACACGGGAGAGACTGTAGCAGGGAGGCTGAGACCTGGGGCTCACCTGGTCCTCCTCGCCGCCTCCTTCCTCGTCGTACTTTAGGATGTTGTCACGCACATCGTCCTCAGGGTCGATGAGCAGCTGCTTTGTGTGTCGTTCCTTTTCCCTCCGCTTCATCCACACAACGAACAACAGGACCATGGCTATGAGAAGAGGGGCTGCATTGTGAGCACTGTATGCATACGTGGGCGTGTCTGCGCATATATGTCCCTCGCCCAGCCCCACCCGGGGGCTGTTTCTGATCCCACCTAAGGAAGACACCACACTGTCTTGGTGAAAGGCCTTGGAACCAGATGCCATTAGAGGGACCCCTAGATCTGGACTGGAAGAGATGGAGTGGTCATGTTGTGGTTCATTCTGGTCTAAGCTGGGGTCCTTATGTTTGGTCTTCAGTCCTTTCCCATACATGGTGGAGACCCTTTAGCTCAGTGTGATTAGGAGAGGGGATGTTGGCCCTCTGTCACGGCTGCTATTGTGGTCTCTGTGCTACTGTGGACCAGGTCAGCTGTCCAGGGGGGAAGATGGCACCCCAGGGTCATTTCTGAGCATCCTTCTTGTTCCCCATAGCCCTGAATCCTGTTCAGAGAGCCACGGGAAGACAAGGGCTGGAGTTGGGATATTGACAGACAGGGACTGTCATTCCCACCGTGTCCATTTGAGAGTGGCCTGCAGATACTGGAGGCCCAGGAGGGGGCCAGCCTGGGGGTTCAGGGGCCTTTGGGAGGCAGAGTCCAAAGATGGACCAGATGTGGGCAGGCTGGCCCTCCGTCTGGGCTAGAGTGACGAGGTGGGAGATCCTGCTTTCGTAGCCCGTGTGGACAGTGTTGCTGGACTTCAGGAATAGATAGGAAGCTGCTGAGTGAAGTCGCTGTAGAGAGGCTTGGATCTCATTCCGCCCTGGCTGTCTGTGGGACAGGGTGCCTGCGCCCAGGAAGCCCACGCCCACAAAGCCAGCACTCACTTAGCAGGATCACGATGCAGATGAGGATAGCCACGATGGCGCCCGTGCCCAGGCCGGCTGCAGCCACGGCACCGATGGTGGTGCAGTCACCATTCTCATCACATGGGCACACCTTGACTTTTATGATGGACGTGTTGGACAGGGGAGGGTTTCCAGAGTCCGTGACAATGATGGGGACGTCGTAGACCCCTGCCTCCAGGTACAGAATGCGCAAACTGAGCTGGGCGTAGTCACCTGGAGTGAGGAACAGCAACGCTGAGCCAATGGTTGGCTCTCCTTCCCAAGGAAGACTTCTGTAGGTAGTCACCGAGTAGCACGAAAATCTCTCTCACACATACACATATGCATGCACATACATCATGCACTCATATGTACACACAGCACATGCACACATTCACAGGTACACACTGGCCACACCAGATAATGAGGTCACCCTGTCCTAGGGGTAACAGCAAGGGGTACCTCCTAAGAGGGTGCTTCCAGTCCACCCACAGTGACTGCCAGCATGGTCCAAGCTAGGCTCTGTCTAAAAAACAGCCAGGTACTAGGAAGAAATGAATGGGTTTGTGGTGGGGATGGGAGTGCACAGGGCCATATCCCCAGCTTTGTGTGTGAACTCTCTGGGAGGGCGGGGGCTGTTCCCCATCTGTGTGGTTCACACCTCCTTGGTGATGGATCCTGGGCCACATCCTAGATCCCGGCTCTGCCTGGCCAGGGCTCTGTGGGTGGGCTCACCGTTTAGGCGGGTGATGGTCCAGTTCTTCCTCACTGTGGTGGGGATGAAGGGCAGCTCAAAGACGTAGGGGCCGATGTTGGGGTCCATGTCGGCATCGGCCGCAGTGATGTTGATGGCGTTGAGGCCTGGCCTCTCGCAGATCTGTGCCTCCTTGGGCAGCAGCTGTGGTGCATTGTCGTTGATGTCAATGAGGTAGATCTGCAGGGTCCCAGTGCCACTGGCTGGGGGGATCCCTGTAGGACAGAGGACAGACAGATGTGTGAAGGCCCCAGCAAGACACACACCTATACACTGACGGGAATTCCTTCTCCACCTTGTAACCTGCTGTTGAAAAGGACCAGGTACTCTTCTCTGAACAAGGGCTGGGTGCTCACCAAGGGCTGTCTGTATGGCCAATTAATTTTTTTTTTGAGATTTATTTTTTGTTTGTTTGTTTTCTGTGTTCCTGTTGCCTGCATGTATGTCTCGGAATCACATCTGTGCATTGTTCACAGAACCAGAAGAGGGTGTTGGATCTCTTGGAACTAGAGTAACAGATGGTTGTGAGTTTCCATGTGGGTGCTGGGAATTGAACCTGGGTCCTCTGAAAGAGCAGCCAGTCACTCTTAACCATTGAGCCATCTCTCCAGTGCCTCTACAGTCAACTTTGTGGATGGCAAGGACTGTGGGACCTGGGGACAGCCAGTCGGGTTAGGTTGGAGTTTCTCTGGCTGTCATTTGCTATGGGAACAGCTTTGGCAGGATTTCTGGACAGAGAGGACGCTGGGAAGAAAAAGGCAGAAACACCAGGAGATGCAGAACAAGTAGGATGGGCACTATGGAAGATGAGGTAATAAAGACACGAGGTGGAAAGTAAATGAATAAAAATTAACATTAAATTATAAGAGCTAGTTAAAAACAAGCCTAAGCTACGACCAAGCTCTCATAATTAATAGTAAGTCTCTATGTCATTTTTTGTAAGCTGGTCACCCAAAGAAAAATCTGTCTACAAATGGCATCCAACATGGGGCTCGAATATCTAAACACAGGGCCGGAGAAAGCTAAGAAAATCTCTGGACAAGTAGCCAGATGTGGTTTTCTAGTCTTGCAGTCTGTCAGGCGGGCTGGAGCCAGCCTCCAGCGCGGTGTGGCGGTGCCATGCATTAAGCTAAGCTGTGCCGGTGGCTGACATGCCACAGCAGTTTAAAGATTAGTCTCACATAATCAGACACAATGCCCATGTTACCAAGAGGTGGGCTGGGCGGTTTTTGGTTGTTCGGTGGGTTATAGATGTTTGTCATCACTTAGGGGAGTTGGTTACAAGTTGTTACTGGTCATGTCAGTATCTAAACAAAGGATATTAGATTCAGGGATCTCTTTCTGAAATGAAAACGGGGGGGGGCATAGTATAGAAATGATGGGATAAAGAGGTGGATTATTGAGTCTACTTTTGAACAACTACTAGTCTCAAATATTTTACATTGGTATGGATTTTTGTATATTGATACAAATTTAAGGTTATTGTTACACTGCATGTATCTTTCTACTCCTAAGGTATTGCACCTATGCAGCTCATTTGAGAAGGTTATGTAAGGTTTTAGTTTTTGAAAGCTATTTAGGATATTAAAGAAACATAGGTTGACAGTCATCTATAACAATCAAATTTATAGTCATGTTAGGTATGTTTTCAAGTTCAAACAGAGGGATGTTTTGAATAGATAGATGGTCTTCAAATACTTCAGAGACTTACAGAATATGGCATTTAAGCTGTGTTAATAACATAAGGCTTTTCATGACAATGAGATATGTCTGCTCCTGGTAGCACCAAGAAGATGATGGGCATCAAAGAAACTCCATACAGAGTTCGCTTTCTTTGTGGCAAAAGTTAGACACTGGACAAAGAAGTTGCCCTTGTATTGACTGCTGGCAGTATGGTATAGTGTCATTTCAATTGTATTTTAATAAATAAAATTTGCCTGAATATCACAGAGTAAAACAGACCCACTGGTCAGCCTTACAGACCAGGCAGTGGTAACACACACCTTTAATCCCAGTAGCCAAACTAGTTTGCCATAGAAACTGGGTGGTGCATGCCTTTAATCCCAGCCCTAGAGAGGATTATAAGATGGGGGGAGACAGCTCTCAGACTCAGTCTCATTCTGAGATTTCTGGAGAGAGGATCGCCATTTCAGACTGATGTCGAGGTAAGAGCCAGTGTCTGGCTGCTTTGATTTTCAGATCTTCAGGTTGAACCCCAATATCTGTCCTGAGCTTTTATTAATTGTGCTTCAGTATGATGCCAAAATTGGACAAGCAAGATACAAAAGAAAGCAACTGCTGAACTTTGCCAAGACACGTAAGGCAGTCCTTCAAAAATCCCTACTTCACAGAAAGGTCTGTCAGATATTCTAGGCCTGTAGAATATCTGTGTTATCCCCAGTGTTACAGAGGAACCTTGGGCCCAGGCAGCCAACTGTTTCTGTTATTTCTCTTAGTTTTGGAAGTTGCTTGCTCTGCACTTCCTGCTTACCCAGGTAATATTATATCCTCAGGTCTTCAGTGGGGTTGAAGACTAGATGGTTATAGTTAGTTTTCCTTAGATTTGATAGAAAGTAAATTAGGTAGAAAACTTCAGACTCATAAAAATAGGATAGATAATGGGGTATTTTCTCTAAATTTGCCAAAATCAAATGGACTAGACTTTGTGAATGTAATTATTAATTGATAATTGTTCTTATTGTATATAGTTTCATTTGTTAATGTTAATACCTTTCCTTTCTCTTTAGACAATACCTGATAATTGTTCTCATTGTATTTAGTTTTACTATGTTAGAGTTAAGACCGTTTCTTTTTATTTAGACAAAAAGGGGAAATGTTGTAGAATAATCTTTTTGTACGCTGTGAAGATGTGTCACTCTGATTGGTTTAATAAAAAGCTGGACAGCCAGTAGTTAGTCAGGATTTCCAGGCAGAGAGGATGCTGGGAAGAAGGTGGAGATGCCAGGAGACACAGAGCAAGCAGGAAGGGCACTATGGAGATGAGGTAATAAAGCCGCGAGGCAGAAAGTAAATAAGTAGAAATGGGTTAAGTTAAGTTATCGAGCTAGTTAGAAACAGGCATAAGCTAAGGCTGAGCTTTCATAATTAGTATAAGTCTCCATGTCTTTTTTTTTTTTTTTTTTTTTTTTGGTGAGCTGGTAGCCCAAAGAAAAATCCATCTACAAGAACCTGCACTGACTTCCTCAGCATGAAACATCATCCTTCTGTTCCATTTCTCAGCTCTTTCTCTGTGCTGCCTGCCCAAGTGCCTGTCCAGCGTCTGTCCAGTGCCTCCAGTGCCTGCCCAGCGTCTGTCCAGCATCTATCCAGTGCCTGTCTAGTGCCTGCCCAGTGTCTGTCCAGTGCCTGCCCAGTGTCTGTCCAGTGCCTGTCCAGTGCCTGCCCAGCGTCTGTCCAGTGCCTGCCCAGCATACGTCTGTCCAGTGCCTGCCCAGTGCCCTCCCTTGCTCCCAGGGCTCTCAGCCCTGCTCTGACTCAGCGTCACAGGTCTAGGGTGGACACAGGCCTTCTTGCCTTTCCTGGGTAGGATGCCAGCTAACAGTGTGGAGAACGGCAGATCTGTTGTCATCACTCAGGTATAGGTGGGAAAGCTGAGAAGCTAGGGCAGCCATCCGCCATTGCATTCCCAGGTTCCTGACTACCCTGATGACTAGCCATGAATGAAGGACCGTGGGAACACGGTGTGGAAGCATGGTCAAATGGGTAAGCAGGTTCTTAGGCGGGGTAACTGAACTTTGGGCGATGGAAGGGAGCAGGATGAGGGCAGCATTGACGGACAAAGTTGCCAGTTCATGGGTGCCTGCACAGACTTCCCTCTGGGTGCCGCTGGCCCCCCTCACCACCACCCCAGGACATGGGTCACAGCGGGACACACCATTGTCAGCAGCCAGGAAGGTGGCCTCGTAGACATTGTTCTTGGTGTAGAGTGACTCTCGGTCCAGGACCGCGGCCGTGGTGATCTGCCCATTGGATGTGTTGATGTGCAGCCAGTTGGCAGGATCGGACAGCTTTGAGTACCTATGGGCAGGAAGCCAGAGGCAGTTGAGGGCCCCAGTGCCCTTCGTCCGGACAGCCCTGCATGCATCCTAGGGTCACAGCCTCAGCATCCTGGATCATAGCACAGTGGCGTTGCTGTTCCCTCAGAGGGCCTGGAGGTCCCTCCCACAGGGGAGGACAGGCCACAACAGAGCCTGTGTCCCTGTGGTGGGTGGTCTCAGCTTCCAGAGGGCTCTCGGAGGCTGTGTTCTCATCATCTGCATTTTACAGGGGGGGTATTCTGAGGGATAGAGAAGGTAAGTGGCTTGCTCAAGTGAAGTTATGGCCTGCCCTGAGTCCAGAGCTCCTGTCTCCCCTGTTAGCCTGGACATGGTGGCAGTGCCTTCCTGGGGTGGGTTGCTCCTAGACTAAGCCAGTGTCTCAGGTCTAGACATGGCATCCATTGTCCTTCCTCTCTCTGCTGGGATTTCTGGTTTTCAGGCTTCTTAGGGCATTGTGGGACTCCTTTGTGTAGCACAGAGAACTGGGCCCCACTGTGAGGGTCAGACAAGGCCAGGTCACGTTGAAGACTCACCTCACAGCTTGCTGCATGAACCGGTCAGGGTCCACCGCGGAAAAAGTGGTGAGCGCAGTGCCGGTGGGCACACCCTCTTCCAGGCGGATCAGCTTGTGGTTGGAGGGAAAGTAGGGGGCCTCATTGACATCAGTGACAGAGATGGTCACCCCTGCTGTGGACTGGAAAGACATCTGGATCCCACTGGCCAGGGGCGCCTGGTTGGACACCATTACGGTCAGCATGAAGGCGCGATTCAGCTCGTAGTCCACTGCCTGGAAGAAGGGACAGGTGAACCCGGACTTCCTGAGTGGGCGTGGGGCTGGCTATCCACACTGCCCAGTCTTGTTGTCCCTCAACATCAGACTCTTGTTTCTGGCTTATTTTGGGTTCTGGCCAATACGAGGAGAGGAGGGTTGGGATGAAACTCTAGCCAGCGGCCCCATGCCTTAATGAGGCAGAGGCTGGCTTCTGGGGCATGGGCCTTGGCTTCCCAAGTGTTGGGATTACAGGTGTGTATCTCCATGCCTGACTGACTTCATGACTTCTCAGTAACAATTCCTCAATTACTGTGTGGGCTTGCAGGGACAGATGTGCTGAGGGTCTTGAGAGTCACTGCAGCCGCAGGAAGCTCAGCAAATACGAGGGCCGAGAGTAATGGTGGCCAAAGGTTGGCTTTGGTTTTAGGGCGAGTAAGATGGGTCGGTGAGTAAAGGTATCTGCTGCCACGTCTGATGATGAGTGTGCCTGGCAGAACCCACACGGCTGGAGGAGAGAACCAACTCCTGCAGGTTGTCCTCTGACCGCCTCATGCATGAGCAGCACACGTATCTCCCTGACCCCACACTGTTTCTGCTGGGCACAGCTACATGCCTGAAACCCTGCATTCAGGAGGCCGAGACAGGAAGACTGCAAACTTGAGGTCGGTCGGAAGACGTAGGGAGAAGGTCTCAGAACCTCACAGTTCCCAGCCAAGCAGCAGCGTTTAACCCTTTACTCATGTAGCGTTTCCTTGTATTCGTTACTAATTTTGTGTCCCCAGTTGGAGACTTAACGTAATCTGAATGCAGTTCTGGGGTTAGACGTAAAATGTCTGTGCCTGGGTTAGAGTCCAACAGCAGGGCCAGTTCCCTCCAGAGACTCCCACCTCATGTTTCCACTTTGGAGAGGGTGTGTGGGGTCTAGTACCTCTCCAGAGCCAGCTGTGGCTTCCTGCCTCCACCGGCTCTGCCTCTCCCTTCTCTCTCTGTGATGGTGTTAGGTCACCTCGACACGAGCTGGAGTCCTTTTAGGAGACCTCAGCTGCAAAAACGCAGCCGCTAAGCTGGCTTGTGCTACATTTTCCTGATGGGCGAATCATGGGGGAGGACCCAGCTCTCGGTGGGTGGGGTGGGGCCACCCCTGAGCAGGTGCTGTAAGAAAGTTGCTGAGCGAGCTACGGGGGACAAGCCAGGAAGCAGCTCTCCTCCACGGCCTCCACATCAGCTCCTGTCTCCAGGTTCCTGTTCTGACTTCCCTCCGTGACAGATCTGCTTGGGACATGTAAACTGAAGTAACTTCCCTCCCCAAGTTACTTTCGGTCATGGTGTTTACCACTGCAACAGAACCTCAACTAAGACACTCTCTGACTTTTCTGCTCCCTCTCTTAAAGACCTCTGAGGTTGCACTGGGCTGACCCAGAGACTCTCAACCCTGTCACACCTACAGAGACCCTGCTGCCAGCTGGGACAGTCACAGGTTCTAGAAACAGGCACTGGGTCCTGGGGCATGGCTAGGCCTGTGCTTCTGCTTCCTTAGACCCAGGTATTGCTGGTGAAGTCAGCTGTACACGTGGGAATGGGCTGGTCCCTCGCTTGCCCTATCTCTGCCCAGTTTGTACTGTGTTGCTGGACACTGTACAGGTGCACTTACAGGGCCTGTGGCTACAGGGTCCCTGGACTGAACCCCTCTCTTGAAAGATCTCACAGGGGTGTTTAGGCCAGAAATAGTGAGCTTCCCCAGGCCTAGTCTTGGCTCCTGGGGACCCTTAGACCCCAGGTGCCACCACGCTCCCAAAGCTGGTATTGCACTGTGACAAGGTCTTTCTCTAGTATAACCAATGACTGCCAATGCCAGGAGCCCCTCCTGGAAGCGCCAGACAGAGGTCAGGCCAGTTTGCTATAACAAACTGCTCCATAAAATTGTGGAGGGAATGGTCTCTCTGCGTTTATTGGCTCATGTTCCTGCGGGACATGGAACCAGGTGGTATGTGATGCCCTAAAACATCAGTCTTTCTAGAAGGACTATGGCCAATAAAATCCACAGGCAGGTGAGATAAAACAACTGTAATGTGGAAACCAATAGGAAATTTGTTCTGACAGTTTCAATTAGGGTTCTGGGCATACCCACAGAGGTGACACGTCCCCCCCCCCCCCCCCCAATGACTCTTGGCTCAAAAGTGAGACCCAAGTACACCCTGGAGAGGTGAGTCCTAGAATCCAGCCAGAGAGGAGGGTCTTACCACATCCTCCTGCTCTCCGAGCACTGTACCACAAGGTGTGTGCACGGCCTCACATGAAGGAGACTCTCGTTCAGAAGAAAAGGCCAGCGAGGACTTGGAGGCCAGAATCTAAACTTTACTGTTTCTCCTTTCCAGTGGAAAATGGTGGGTAAGAGGTGGAGGCAGGAGGATCACAAGTTTGAGGTCAGCCTGAGCTAGGAGAGACCCTGTGGAGGTTGTCTCCAAAGTCACTCACCTTCACCACGGTGACCATGCCCTCATTGGTGACAGGGTCTGTGCGGACACTGAAGTGCCCCGAGGGGTCCCCACTGATGATTCGGTAGACTGCATTCCAGTTGGGTGAGTGAGGCTGATCTCGGTCCAGTACTGTGAGATTGGCTACTACTGTTTCCACACGGTTCTCGGGGACCTCTCCTGCAAACTGTGAAGTGTAAGAAAACATTAGGGCCTCACATAGAGCCTGGGGGCCTGGCTCCCTGGACCCAGCCAGTGCTGGGGAGCAGCAGGGTCACTGCTCTGAAGTAGGTGTCCTAAGTGGTGGGTTAGCTGGTATTGACTGATGACAGAGTACCCTGGCCAGAGGCTCCCATCTGCTCCTGTCTCCCCAGAACAAGCCTCACCTATGCAAGCTCTGGCACAGGCTCCCCTCCTACACCCCAGCTTTTCTCACATGCGTGAAAGATGCATGGCAAGGACGGACGCACGATGGAGAGTGGAGAAGCAGGAGTCTACGTGCAGCTGCAAGAGGTCTCTGAGAGAAGCATGTCCTGGCTGCTGCCACCATCAGGTCACGTCAGCTCCTGTGGCCAGTGACTAAACACGGAAGTGATCACCTCTCTACTGCTAAGGTACAGGGAGGTTGCAGTGTGCACCTGTGAAGACCCCATGACCCCACTTGGAGTGGGGGAAGGGTGCGTCTGCCTTAGAAATCCTTGTCCCCTGCCAGCCGTGGCCACTGCTGCGCCTGGCTTCTAGGTTCTGCTCTCAGCAGCTCCGAGGTCACATTCTCTGCTGTCTTGAGATTCACCTTAGGAAGATGCACAACTGTCTCGTCAATTCAGGGTCTGATGGGAACCCACTGCCCATCCTAAAGGATGTCCCTACAGTGTCCTCAGGGCTGCTCTGTGAGCTGCCCTGGAGCAGCGAGGCCCCAGACTACAGAGGGTTGCCTAGGAAGTGCTAGGGGTACAGGTGAGCTGGCACAGGCCACTTCCAGAGGGCCCTACTTTCAAACCTTCCTCTTCGCCATTTAGCACAGAGGGGCACAAAGCAATCCCAGAGAGGACAGAAGACCCGAGTCGTGGGCACATGTGTCCAGGGTCTGACTTCTCACTGGGCTCCCCGGCTCCTCTGTGTGGCTGGGCGAGGCTGGTGGCCTCCACAGTGAGAGCCCCCACTCCTGTCACATTCTGAGTCAGCAATAGGGTTGCCGCAGCGTCTGAGTGTCCACGCACCAGGATATGGGGAGCTTTCCTCTGAGGGAGATCACAGTGGCTTGGGGGGCAGTGTTGCAGGCTGAGTCATGGCCCCTAAAATTTTTTTTTATTTAAAATAATATTTTAAAGTCCAAGTTTCCCAAAGTAGACAGATTGGTATCATTCAACATTGTTTTTTTTTCTTATTGATTTTATTGAGCTCTACATTTTTCTCTGCTCCCCTCCCTTCCGCTCCCCTCCCCTGCAACCCTCTCCCATGGTCCTCATGCTCCCAATTTACTCAGGAAATCTTGTCCTTTTCTACTTTCCATGTAGATTAGATCCATGTAAGTCTCTCTTAGGGGGTCGTCATTGTTGTCTAGGTTCTCTGGGATTGTGATTTGTAGGCTGGTTTTCTTTGCTTTATGTTTAAAAACCACTTATCAGTGAGTACATGTGATAATTGTCTTTCTGGGTCTGGGTTACCTCACTCAAAATGATGTTTTCTAGCTCCATCCATTTGCCTACAAATTTTAAGATGTCGTTATTTTTTTCTGCTATGTAGTACTCCATTGTGTAAATGTACCACATTTTCCTTATCCATTCTTCTATTGAGGGGCATTTAGGTTGCTTCCAGGTTCTGGCTATGACAAACAATGCTGCTATGAACATAGTTGAGCACATGTCCTTGTGGCATGATTTGGGTATATACCCAGAAGTGGTATTACTGGGTCTTGAGGAAGGTTGGTTCCTAATTTTCTGAGAAATTGCCACACTGACATCCAAAGGGGCTGTACCAGCTTGCATTCCCACCAGCAATGCAGAAGTGTTCCCTTTTCCCCACAACCTCTCCAGCATAAGTTGTCATCAGTATTTTTGATCTTGGCCATTATTACAGGTGTAAGATGGAATCTCAGAGTTGTTTTGATTTGCATTTCTCTGATGACTAAGGATGTTGAACATTTCCTTAAGTGTCTTTCAGCCATTTTAGATTCCCCTGTTGTGAGTTCTCTGTTTAGATCTGCACTCCATTTTTTATTAGATTATTTGTTCTTTTGATGTCAAATTTCTTGAGTTCTTTGTATATTTTGGAGATCAGACCTCTGTCTGATGTGGGATTAGTGAAGATCTTGTCCCATTCTGTAGGCTGTCGTTTTGTCTTGTTGACCGTGTTCTTTGCTTTATAGAAGCTTTTCAGTTTCAGGAGGTCCCATTTATTAATTGTTTCTCTCAGTGTCTGTTCTGCTGGAGTTATATTTGGGAAGTGGTCTCCTGTGCCCATGTGCTCAAGGGTACTTCCCACTTTCTCTTCTATGAGGTTCAGTGTGGCTGGCTTTATGTTGAGGTCTTTGATCCATTTTGCATGTCCCATAAATTTATATGTTGATGTCCTTAGCCCCAGTGCCCCGACCTATACCTGTCTGAGGAGGTGTCAGCATGAGGCTGGGAGCTTTCCTAACCCAGCCTGTATGGTACCCTTGTGAAGATCAGTCCCTAGTGGCACATGTGTTAGGGTGTATCAGTTACATGTATACCCCAGGTTACTGGGGGAGGTGCCTCTAGAAGAACCTTTGGCACCTACAGGCACAGATTCTTGGCTCTTGTGCTCAGTGGACTCCTGCCTCTGGGGAAGTCATCTCTGGGCAGATGAGTGAGCCTTCTGCCTTTGACCACTGCGCCTACTCTGATCTGGATAAGAATCTTTTGAGGTCCCAGGTGTTGAAGACTTGGTCCCTAGTCTGGGGCAGTGTTGGGGGCAGGGCAGAGACCATAGCAGGTAGGTATGGGTTGTGGGAGGGAGTCAGGTCACAGGACTGTGCTCTTGAGGGGCTGTGGAGACCCTGACCCCTTTTGGTCTATCTTTGTTTCCTGGTGACCAATTGAGCAGTTTCTTCTGCTTCATGCTCCCCACCTCCCATACTTTGTGTCCCCAACACAGGTCCACAGTACCTCAGAAAACACGAGCTGAAATAGATTTTTCCTCGTTGTACACCAATGACCTCATTGTCATGGTGACAGAGAGCCAGCACCATGTGCACAGCATAGCCTGGCCAAGGGCTCTTCAGATGGACACTGCCCTACTGGGCGCTGTTTCTTGTCCTGCTGGGAGGTGACCTATGGGAATACCATGATGTGACTGCCTCCTTTCCGTCATTTAACACAGCGTCATTCACACCTGTGAGGGGACCGACCACCTTGCACAGGCAAACAGCAAATGCCCCTGTAGTCGGGCTGCATAGGCCGGGCCTGCGTGGCTCTGCCTTCCTTCTTTACCAGTGGAGGTTCAGTGTAGAGAGCTTTGGTGACTGCGCCTGCCTTTTACTGCTAACGGCTGGGCTGGGCAAGGACTGCTCTCACCTGCAGGCAGAGCCTGTGCTTACTGTTACGTACAAGGTTCCCAGGACCAGCAATGGCCCAGCCTCACCACCCATCACACACGGATGTCAAATGTGGAAAGCATCCTGGGCTCAGAGACGTCTGGACCTCAGCCAAGGTCACACAGTGAGAAGAGTGGCCGTGTGTGGGTGGGAAGACCACAGTTGCTGGGTCTCAGGGTCCCTCTGAGCCCACTGGGGTCTGTGCATGGGGTAGGCTGTAGGCCCCTGGGGCATTGTCTGGAGGTTGTTTTCCACCCCGGCTGGTCCTGCATCACTCTGGAGGGGAGTGCTGATGGCAGGGTGGCCCTGAACGAGCTATGGGCTTTGTCCTCCAGGGGGCACTGCAGTTGCACAGGAGCAAGAAGAAAAATAACTTTTAATTAACACTTAAGAATAGGAATTGGAGTTGGCAAGTCCCTGCATCTTTTTCAGCTCTGCCTGATTGTTCTTGATTAAGCTTCACAAAAATAGCCCATGTGTGGTGTGTGGCCAACCTGCCTGTACACTCCCACTGTGTCCCGGGGCACCTGCCTGCCACTCATCTGGATGGGGCCTGGTGAGGGCCGCTGGAGCCCAAGTATGTATGTCTGTGGAGGGTACACTGAAGATGAGCTGTGGGGCCTGCGTGGAAAAGTGTTCTGTATTCACGGGACTTCAGACTGCCCTCCCTGCTGGCCCTCCATGTCCCAGGGAAGTGGGAGTCTCCACCTTCCTTCATCGGTTTCATGGAGGCAGGACCAACCCCTGAAATAAGCTTTGTGCCATTGTGCTCCAGCTGTGACCCTCTGGCTGTGACCCTCCGGCTACCTGTGCTAACTGGGGTCATAATGGTTTCTTCTGTGTCCCAGCATAAAGAGAGACACTGCTCTTCCCAGAGCTTCTGTCCTCTCACAGACGGCACGGGGTGTTTGTAGCGTGGCTGATGCACCTGAGAGAAGATGAAGTTCAGGTAGATTGGAGGTGGTGGTCCAGACCAGACAGAGCTCAGATGCTGGGTGAAACCGGTCCATCCTCAGAGTGCCTCCTGCTGAGATCAGGTGGGGGAACACCCCAGGAGCTATCGTGGGAGGGCACTGGGAGCCAGTGCCTGTTAGTGCTTTTTCACTGTGGCCATGGTCACCCTCGAGCTGTGCTGTAGAGCCCGGGCAGCAGCACAGCAAGAGCTGAGGCTTCACCTGGAGTCAGAGCTGCCAGTCTGGGTCGTGCTGAGTCTGACCCCGTATGATCTCATAGGTTGTCTGAGACAGGATTCATGCACTTCCCACAGGAGGAGGGCTTGCTGGCTCTATCTCTGAGGCAGGGTATCTGTGGGCCCTCCTGTCCTTTCCAACCTGCATAACTTCTAGGAGCTCTGGGAATGAGCAAAGTGGGCATGGACCATGTGTCCAGATGTGGAGAACTGGGCTTGTGCAGGACTGGGAGGCAGGCTGGGTGGGTCCCTGAGCGTCATACACTGCTCTTTGATGCTCCGGCCAATGTCCTCAGTCTTTGATGAAACCCTCCTCCCGCAGGCATGCTCCTCAAAACTCCTCCGGCCACTGTGGTGTTCTGTGTCGCGACCGCCTCGACCAGCAAGGATGATGCGACACCGGAGCTCTTCTTGCAAGCAGTTTTATTCAGGACCTTTTTTACAATTGTATCTCTCTCTCTTCTCTCCCCAGGCAAGTCTCTCCCAGCCCTTAAATAGGCCTGAGCTACCAACCCTGGATAGCCACGTGGGCACCGTCCATTGGTCCACGCATACGCAAACCGCTTTCGATCACTGGGTGATGATCGCAAGAGTCTGGTTTTAGCCAAATAAGGAATTGTTTATCAGAGAGCTCTCACTTTCGGGATCGTGGAGGGCGAAAGCCAGCGCCATCTTTTAGGCGTGGCTCCACGCAGCTCTCTACAGTTCCGTCTCCTCTGCTGGGGATGAACCCAAAGCTGAACTCTTGTGACTTCCCTCTGGCCTGCTTCTTATGGTGACCATATTGTTCCAAGGCTACTTTCTGAAGGTAAGAGGGGGCGCCGATGTCAGGAGAGCTGTGTCATTCCTGCACCCCAGTATCTGTACTCCAGCAGTCTGGAATGGGCATAGGGGTGTAGCCCTGACTTAGAGTCTGAGCGCCCTGTGATTATCCTGGGGTCCCACAGCACTGATGCCTGGCTTAGGAGCGTTGTCCTGATTTTTCCCCCTAACTTAACACAAGCTAGAGTTATTTGGAAAGAAGAACCTCATTTGAGGGAACACTTCCATCATATTTCCTGTAGGCAAGTCTGTAGGTCATTTTCTTGATTAATGGCTGATATTGGAGGGTCCAATCTATTCTGGGGACCACCCCTTGACTGGTGGTCTTGGGTGCTCCAAGAAAGCAAACTGAGCAAGCCATGAGGAGCAAGCCAGTAAACAGCATTTCCCCCATTGTCTTTGCTTCAGTTCCTGCCTCCAGGTTCACTTCCCTTGGGCAGAAACTATGAATCTGCAGTGATCAGAATGTGTGAGCTAAATTAACCCTTTCCTCCCCATGTTGTGTTTGGTCATGGTGTTTTATCAGGAGACAAGCGGGTTTGTGTCTGTGGACAGTTGTACTGGCTCTGCCCCTGACAAGGCCACCCTGGGTGTGTTCCCTGCCCTTCTGCAGTGGCTGCAGCAAAGCATGGTCTAGACCAGGAGTGGCACCAGTGTGGGCCCGGCACCAACTGTCTCTCCCAGCTGCCAGCTGGGAGTTCCTGCACTGTCACCGAAGGCAGTTGCCAAGATGAGTGCTGACCACCATGCCCGCCCTCTAGAAGCCTGTCTAGGGAAGGAGGCTTGTTGTGCCACGGATGTCACTTTGTAGGGTCAGTGGCTCTCCCTGCAGCCTGGCCAAACCCTATACTACTTCTTTCTGCCCTGTTGGTTGTGGTGAGGGATAGGACTCACGCTGTCTGCAGGGGTCCTGAGCAGCACCTGTTGGTGCCATCTACTGTTTGGCCACTAGATGGTGCTATGATCCAAGAGACTAGGACTCGGGGTTGGGGTGGGGTGGTGGTCATGCTCCTGCCCGGGCACCAGCCTTCTAGGCGCCTTCACCTTAGGCAAATGGGTTTCCTCTCTCTCATCTCCACGTGGCAGCTACTTTCAGCATTCAGTCCCAGCTGCTTCCTGTGGGCCTTGGGCCTGAGCTCCACGTCCTGGCCCACCTGGGTCTCTCTTATTCACTGGTTGGGGCCTGATGAGAGTGTTCATGCCTGGTAAAGTCCTTGTTACTATTAAGGACACATGGCCCTCTTCGGTCTGAGAGTGACCTTCTGACCTTTCCCTCTGCACATCCCGGCCAGACACCTGCAGCCTGCTATTTCTTCAGGGTTGGGCTGGACTGTGTGTTCACGGAGGGGCGGGGACCACTTGGGTCACAGAACTGTTCACCCATTTGTGGACTTGGGTGCCATGGAGGTGGATGCTAGGGGAGATCGGGGTCATGCGATTTACAGTTTCGTCTCCAGAATCTTCTCTCCCAGGGCGGGGCAGGGTCTGTTCCTCAGACCCATGGCTGGAGGCTCACAGTGGACTTTCTATTCCGTGGCTGGGTGGATACTTGTATGTTCAACAAGAGTCCTTGACTTCTAAGGTCCCAGTGTCCAGGGTCTAGCCCAGTCTTTGCCAATTTCCTTGTCTGGGGGTGGGAACCACACAGGGCCAGCCACTGTCTGCTGAGGACCAAGGTAGGAAAGGGATCTTTGCGTCAAAGACACACATGCCCATAGCCAGGGCCCAGCTGGGCATCTGGCAAGCAAGTACACATTGCACAGTCACACGGCCTCCCTAAACACGTGACAGCCTGGAAGGCCACCTTCTCCAGAGCTTTATCTCAGCAAGGTATCAGCCAGCCACTTAATCCTGGGGCTTACCAGGCCCTTAGGGCCATCTCTCCACTGGACAGGCTAGGCCATTCTTTCCCGGCAGAGATGGCTGGCCCAGTGTCCCTCTCGGTCAGTCATCTGTGCAGCAGTATTTGCTACCCATGGTCCATCCAGCTCTTCCCCCACCACCGAGAGGGAGGTGGCAGTTTGGGGCTTTCTCTCTGCAAGGATGTACGGTACTCACTGTGCTCGTGGTGAATTCCGGAGGGTTGTCATTTACGTCTGTCACTGTGATGATGGCAGTGGCTGTGTTCGAGAGACCGTAGTTAAGGTTTCCTTCCATGTCAGTGGCCTGGACGATGACCGTGTACTGCTGGACTTTCTGGAGGGGAAAGACAATGGGTCACTTTGGGTTCGGTAGATGGGGAATGGAGGCTTCCTCAGTGGGGTCACCCTTGGCATGGGCTGCCTGGGACTTCCTGGGGCTGTGGAACCTGCTGTTGCCTTGTGGTAGGCGGTTGTGGCAGAAGGAGGGCAACCGTATTTGTATCTCAGTGGGCACAGTCAGTTTTGGTGTTGAGGCAGACGGGGCAGGTCAGGGTTCAGAGGAACCTGCACCGTCTTCAGAGTGGACAGTCTGCAGATGAAAGGCCAGGCTAGGGGATGTCGCTGTGGGAGCAGAGCTAAATGGAAGGATAGGACTGGACGGGGAAGGAATGCCAGGTTAGCACATGGCAGGGCACAGCAGTGGGGGGTCTCCAGTTCCACATGGAGGAGAGGGGAGCAGCTTGATGCAGGTGTGCTCTCTGAAAGGCGAGCAAAGGACAATGGTGTGCCATGTCATGCTCTGAGGGAGTCACATGACCCTCCCCTGCTCACTGCCTGTACTGAGAGGCAGAGGCATTGACTACTCTGCTGACCGAGGGTATCATGCTGTGGGAATGACAGCCTTTGACTAGTCCAGGGAGGGGGCAGCTCTGTGAGGACCCTGTCACCTCTCACTGGCACCACTGGGAACTCAAAATGGGTTCAATCTCCAGTTCTGCTCTCCTAAAAGGTTAGAAAAGGGCAGGTCCCACCTTGTGACACAGAGAAGTGTGTGTGAGTTCCATACATTGGCTCCAGAAAAGTTATAGGCAGCAGACAGGTCACAGAATTCCTCTGTTCATCCATCATCCCTCATCTACCCATTCATCCTCCACCATCCCTCCATCTACCCATTCATCCTCCACCATCCCTCATCTACCCATTCATCCTCCACCATCCCTCCATCTACCCATTCATCGTCCACCATCCCTCCATCTACCCATTCATCCTCCACCATCCCTCATGTACCCATTCATCCTCCACCATCCCTCCATCTACCCATTCATCCTCCACCATCCCTCATGTACCCATTCATCCTCCACCATCCCTCCATCTACCCATTCATCCTCCACCATCCCTCCATCTACCCATTCATCCTCCACCATCCCTTCTGTACTCATTCATCCTCCACCATCCCTCCATCTACCCATTCATCCTCCACCATCCCTCATCTACCCATCTTATACCCATTCTTCCCTTCTCTCCATCTGTTCTTCCTTTCCTCCCCTCTCACTCCTTCCATCCATATCCCTTCCTGTTCCTCTCTTTGTCCCAGACACAGCCAACCTGTCATCTGGAGAGGGATAGATCATGGGCCAAGCTGAGCACTGCTGCCGTATGTGGCATTGGATAAAGATAAACAGAAACATAGAAGCATATGCTTATTAACATGAACATGTGTTTGCATGTGTGTGCGTGCACATCAATGCCTGTGGACATGTAGGAATGTGTGTAACCTGTATGCATGTGTATGTGTGTATTCATGTGTGTACACACCTGTAGGTCTCTGCATATGTGTGTAGTGTGCATGTGTGTGTACATCAGCCTGCCACTAGAGGGGAAGCTGAACTTGCTTGTGGACTGCAGGACCCTGGGAGGGAAGCTGGTCCTGCAAGATGGGAGAAATACTAGGACTCAGAAGAAGCAGGCCAGCCGGGCTCTAGGGTCTTCTGCCTGCCTCTGAGCCCAGGTGGGTCTCAGTTTGGTAACCTCTGCCCCTGTATTATCCCTCCATGGAACTAGAAGGAGGTGCTGGGTACAGTGGGCATGCTGTGTTCAGGGTCACCCCTACTGGCCAATTGCTTTCCTGTGGCACCCCCTCCCCAGTTCCCACTGGGTACAGAGAACAGGGCAGGTGCCTCTGGAGTTGTGTCAGCAATGCAGCTGCAGTGAATTCATTAAGAAAGTGATTTAACCGTTTTCAAGTTTGAGAGTAGGAAGACAACTAGAAAGCAGCCATCCCCAGGGCTTTCACTCACCTCCCTGCAGCCCGGCATGCTAACTCTGCAGAACATCCATCAATAATGCATCGGTCGGCCTGCCCTAGAAAGCGCCGAAGCTTCCCCAGCATACCCGCTGTTGTGGGGGAAACTGCGCACATCTCACAGGGTGTCCTGGCTGACCCTTGGTGATGACTCAGTACTAAGAAGTTGTCTAAGTGCAGAACCAAGGTCACTAGCAGAGCTCCCAATAATGGTGGCCCCAGCTCCCCCACCTCAGCATCTCAGCATGGCCCGTGTCCTGGGCTGACCTCCGCTGTAGTCCCTGAAATCTGGGCTTCCCTAGCCCCTCCCTCTAGGATGTGAGTAGAGATGGCTCAGTGGTTAAGAACATGTATGGCTCCTTGCAGGGAACCTGAGTTTCATTCCTAGACCCCACATCAGGTGTCTCACTCCAGCTCCAGGGGCCTGAACTCCTCTGACCTCTACAGGTGTCCCTGTACACACACACACACACACACACACAACCATGTAATTGCTACTACTACTATTAACTTTTTAAAACAACCCCCCTCCCTGTGCTGCCCGAAGCTTCTAGCTGCTCAGTCAAGGATGTGTTTCTTACCCAGACTCCAGCATTGCCTGCTGCAGCCCTCCCTGGGTGGTGATTCTCTACTCTTCCCCCAGGGGGTGCTACAGAGCCACTCAGGAGCTCCGACCTGCCAAGGGGGCTCTTTCCTTCCAGCCAGCAGCTCTTTCTGCTGCATCAAAAGGTCCAAATCAGGAGCAGAAGGAGAGAGAGCACGAGCAAGGAACTCAGGACCATGAGGGGTGCACCCACACACTGAGACAATGGGGATGTTCTATTGGGAACTCACCAAGACCAGCTGGCCTGGGTCTGGAAAAGCCTGGGATAAAACCGGACTCTCTGAACATAACGGACAATGAGGACTACTGAGAACTCAAGAACAATGGCACTGGGTTTCTGATTCTACTGCACGTACTGGCTTTGTGGGAGCCTAGGCAGTTTGGATGCTCAACTTACTAGACCTGGATGGAGGTGGGGGGTTCCTTGGACTTCCCACAGGACAGGGAACCCTGATTGCTTTTCGGGCTGAGGGGGGGGGGACTTAATTAGGGGAGGGGGAGGGAAATGGGAGGCGGTGGCTGGGAAGAGACAGAAATCTTTAATAAATAAATAAATTAAAAAAAAAGCAGAGAAAAATGTAACTCTTCTCAGTGGGGTGTGCACAGCACCCCCCCCCCCAACTGCTGCCAGGGGGAGCCAACAAGCTAGTGGGCCTCAGGCTGAAACAGGGTGGTGTCAGCACAGCCTAGCAGGCCTCAGGCTGGGTCAGGATAGATGGAGTCAGATGCTCTGCTCTCACCTGCCACTCTGTCCCTCTTCCTCTCTACCTCTCTTTTCCACTGGATAGCACCCACAGCAATTGCAGTGTTCTGGACTCTGCAAGCAATGAGGCGGGGTGGCAGGAGTGTCCCTGCTTCAAGCCCAGAGGGCTGAGGAATCCGGGTGCCTTCACAGCCATTTCTGGCAACCCCCTCCAGCTCTCAGGCGCCTCCTCCAGGCTGCTGACTGAAATTGCAGGCTGAACACCACACTCCTTCACTTTCCCCTTCTTCCTCCTCCTTGAGGCTGTGGATTACCCAGCCTTGGGGTCCTGTCTTTCCCAGGCTGACTCTAGGACAGCTTTTCCTAAATGACATTTGTGGCCAGGTCACACTCTGTTGCTGAATATCCCATGCTCTGTGGGGGTGCTGGGCAGTATCATAGACTCTGCCCATGGGGTGTTAGGAATCCATCACAGATGTCAGCAGTGTAGTAATATCCCAAGGGGACATTGTTTGAGAAGCAGGGCTCTAGGAAGGAGGCAGGCGGTAAATAAGGGAAAACAATCCCTTCAGGGCTGTGCAAGCATGGACAGAGGAGAGTAGGCATGGGGAGCTAATTGAATTAACCACCTCTGGTTAATATACTTGGGGGAGACTGTCGCCAACAGAGGGAATGGCTCTGCTAAGGCACTAGGGGAGGTGGTGTGTGTGTGTGTGTGTGTGTGTGTGTGTGTGTGTGTGTGTGGTGTGCACAGATGGAGATGGAAGCAGGCTCGACTCAACCGGGCTCAGAGAGCAGCCGAGCGGGTGTCACCTGTCTGTTCTGTGTGGCTTTGATCCAGGGTGTGGTCTGGGGTGAGACCTGGAAGAGAAAAGAGCTACCCATAGGGCGAGCTTTCTGAGCGGGTGGGATCGTGGGACCCAGGGAGTTTGCTGCCTGGACACACACCACTGAAGGGACACCTTCTGCTCTGCTCCCGTCTGGAGACCATGGCGTTCTGATACTCCCCTTTTCATATTGGGGATAGTAGCTGGGAGTACCCCAGAAAGCAAGCAGCAGGGTGCACTTGATGCCACGTGAGCTAGCCTGGGGCTGGTATCCTAGGAGCTGCAGACACTCCTGGCCTCCCAGTCCCTCCAGAGAAGTGTGCCCTGAGAGGAGAGTCTCTACTGTTAAAGGGATTCAGAGGATTTGTGTACAAAACCTTTTACTTAAACACTGGCAAAGTTCAAAGATAACAAATAGATTCAGCGTCCATCTGTGGCCGTGTCTGTCTCTGGTTGCCTGTCTGAGACCTCACATCGGATCCATGGGTGCTGTGAAGCCTCAGCGTGGAAGGAGGAGGCCCTGCTGCAACAGGGATGTGGGAAGCCTGGTACAGGTATGGGTACTCTGCACCTAGATCTGGTGACGGCCACAGGGGAAAGTCTCAGGGTCTGGAATGGTGGAGCAGCAGTGTGGATGGGTGCCACTGCAGCTCGCTTTCAAAGTAGGCACATGGGCTGTGGCAGGTGGTCGTGGGCTGGGGCTGGGTGATAGGGGCTATGGCTGGGTGATAGGGGCTATGGCTGGGTGGTGGGCTGTAACAGTGATCCTCAGCTGTGACTGGGTGATCCTGGTCTATGGCTGGGTGATCCTGGGCTAAGCTAAGCTCTGTCCTGCCTCTTGTCTTTGGGAGCCCAGGAAGACTCTTGGGACTGAGACCAACCTGTCTGGATCTATCAC